TTGATGTAAAATACACATACACTTTGGTGACGTAAACATAGGAACGTAAATTTTACGTAAACGTACTGTTATTTTCATGGCAATCGCAAGAAATTTACATTGTTTGCAAAAAATTGATATCTTGTTTACGTGAACATGCTGCTTGGGCAGACATCATGCACGTATACAGTATGACTTAGGATATGATCCTTCACTAACAGTGTATAATATTGCAGGTATTCCAGTCGAAGTGGGAGTGACAATGTTTGTGCTGAGCATAAGCTCCCTGTCTGAGGTCAAAATGGCTGGTACACATCCACGACACCTAATCTTGCATCTCCATATGAGTAGACTATACGCTGCATCCCATGCTAACTCGACAAACTCAAGCAGACAAGACTCTCCGACTAAGCTCCTGTTTGCATTTTTCGCCCCACACTCGGCCTGCCTTGTTATGTGCCCCAAGAAGGATGCCTTCAGCTGTCTCTCTCCAAGACGTTCTCGAGAACTAGAGAAGAAACAAAACAAAAACAAAAGGAACCTTCATTATGATAATAAATCTTGTCGGGAAGATGTGGGCACCCCGGGACCCAAAACTGGACATGCATGGCAGACATTCCAAGTACAGTGTATCGTGTGCTAAAGAGAGATAAACAAGAAAAGAAGCATCTGTAAGGAAAAAAAGACAGAAGTAAAGCAGACAGGTAAGGTATCCCCCCTTGCTGCTCCATCACCCGCGAAATTCAAATGGATGATGCTTGCTTTTCGAGCTATGATTCGTTTCTCTCCCTGATACAGGTGTGCCTGTGGAAGTTGGAGTCACCATGTACATCCTGAGTATCCCCCAAGTTTCCGAGGTCCAAATGGTACTTAGATCTTTCTAATTCCCTTTCTGTATTTTCTCATTTTTTTCTCTCTTTCCCTGGCGCCTTAGGGTCAATACATCTCAAATTAGCCAAAGGCCGGAGCATGACCCCCTCCGATATTGACGACGATTTTTTATGTGGTATCCCTCATGGCCCAATGTAAGAATGCAAAATTTTGGCTTCGCGTATGGAGCCGTTTTGGCACAATAATTCGTTAAATTTTGGGAAATTTAAAAAAGGGTGCTTCATGCTCATGTGGGCCGAAAACTTTTCGACAAAAACGAACGCAGCCAACACCATTGTTCTTTAAGAAGGTTAGACTTTCGAAGTTATTTCATATACTTTTTTCCTCGAGGCAATACTGAACAAAATAAAGCTATGTCAAATTTTAACATATGCAAAATTTTGCAAAAAGAATAAGAAATTTGCAAAACGGCAACATGTTCATCAAACCCTATAATTATATATGTTTTGGGAATCAGCGGAAGAAGGTCTAATGATATGTGTCCCATTTTTGTCCCAACAAAATCCACTTGAGGAAATGTGATGCAAAAATCGCAAATTTCGTATATAAAAAAAAAACTGAAAAAACAAACTGGAAAAAATTTCAGAATGTCTGCCATTTACTTGAGTAAAAGATGAGAGCAATTTCAAAGTTGACTTTTTTTTAATGTATACCACACATTTTTATTCAGACCCCACCTTACAATTTCTGCCGTTATTTGTAAGGCTAAATATTTTTCCTTTCATTGGGGTTATGAAAAAAAAGGAAGAACTGTTAATGAAAACTGTACTTAGTAATGTGAAAACCAATTTTCAATGGCTTTCCCTTTCTTCAACCCCACCGCCTCTCCATGGGACACACTAACTTTAGGCCTAGGCCTAACCAACTGCAGGTCACGTCATGGCCTACCTTTTTCTTTCCAAAAGAAACTCAATTCTCGACTTACGGCGCCAATTAGGCCTATAAGAGTGAATCGTGGTCTTCGAAACATCTGGTTGAGGACGTGTAACGTTAGGTCAATCGCAGGCCTATTCATACTATCACGAACCACTTCAGAGAAGACGTCTAACGTTAGACCGATTGGAGGCCTGTTTCCCGTTTCAAGAACCATTTCAGTGGGACGTGGAAAATTAGACCTATCTGGAGTTCCTCGAACCATTTCGAACATCGCCGCGTACTGGAGTGCAGGAAAGGCAGGGAAGAGTCAAGTGTTTCTACGCGAATGCACGCAGCTTACGTAATAAAATAGACGAGCTCAGGGGGAGGGCACTGGACAACGGTTTCGATGTCATTGGAATAGCCGAGACTTGGGGTGGTTCCCACATTTCGGATGAGGAATTCGAGATCGAAGGGTACGACATCTTGCGGAAGGATAGGCTCGGCAGAAAGGGGGGAGGAGTCGTGTTGTACGCTAAAACCGAACTGGGCGTTCGCGTCAGAGAAGATCTCACTTCGGCTAACTGTGGAGCAATCGAACACTTATGGTGCGAGATCGGTGGGGCAACTGGGAAGATCGTGATAGGAATTTGCTATAGGNTGATTAAGTCCTAACGAGTGAAGCTTTTCAAAATCAGAAACATTTTAAACACGAGGTTAGCACTGCAAAGTCGCATTATATGGACGAAAAGACACGTTAAGAACTAGCTTTGTTGGCAAAGAAGTTTCTAGATAGTAGAAGGCCTATTTGCTCCTCAATTAATAACTTACCAGATTAAAGATATATTAAATTATTCACGAATCGGAGGACTGATATTTCAATGAGGTCCGAGATGGGAAAGGAAAGGGTTTGGGCGACTAAAGAGAAACTTTTAGTCGGGATTAATTAATAAAATGTTTTTTTGAGCAATCAGATCAAGGTCTCGCGGACTTCATTGGGGAATGCGCACCGGGTTTCCAACTGTATTGAGTTTGGCTTCGCCAAAATGGGCGCGGATGTAGCTGTGCATGCCAAAAAATGGGTGAAGAATGAAAGATCTTTCTTTCATTTTCATCTCAGTGACGAAGAATAAAACTGTTGCACGCATTCTATGGTTACATCTTCTCATATCTATCTATGATCATGATTGTAAAAAAAACTGGTGTCGTCCACAAACTGGGTCCGTGAGTATCCACGAACTGGAACCAGGTCGTCCACAAACACCTGTAGGAACCGCGGGAAAATCCACATATGGTCATTAAAATACCTATTGCTGGAAAAGTATGCAATCAACAGTCAACTTTAGAGTATGTATATTTAGCTATAATAAGTGGCCTCATATTGAAACCAAACACGTAGTTCTCCGGTGACTCCAACGACTGTAGTACAATATCCAATATATAATTTTCCTTAACCCGTCCACAAACTGGTGCCTTTACCCTATATGAAATAACTTTGAGAGTCTAGCCTTTTTTTTTTTAAGAGCAATGGTTTTGCTGCGTTCGTTTTGGTCGATAAGTTTTCGGCCCACATGACCATGAAGAGGTGCCCCTTTTTTTTAATTTCCCAAAATTTAACGAATTATTTTGCCAAAATGGCTCCATACCCGAAGCCAAAATTTTGCATTCTTACATTGGGCCATGAGTAGTACTACGTAAAAATTGTAGTCAATATCGGAGGTGGTCATGCTCCGGCCTCTGGTTGATTTGAGATGGATTGACCCCTTGATCTTCGTTCCCTCGAAGCTTCCCCGACCGATGCAAATGCGTTATAAACATTTACTCATCGAAATCTCGAATTCGGTATTTACTCGAGTCAACGACGACGGAAACCTCGAGGACAGACATGACGTAGTTCTGTGGCCTGACTCTGTTTGATCTGCATGATTAAGGGATGCCCTTCAGCATGAATATCGTAAGTCTATTTTGTGTCCTCCCGTGTGCAAAGATTAAAGCAGGAAAACCACGATGAAAGCTCGGCATAAATTAGAGCACTGCAGTGGAGAAAAGCTAAAGATGAGGTTTGGTGAAGGGAGGCGTTAATCGAATAAAAAGTGAAGTGATGCTAATTTCCAGGGTGGGACTGGAGTGTTATTTGATGTCACACTCGAGGGGGTTTCTGATGACATCCGAATTGATTGCCTCGCTGACGTCATTCCACAGCAGGCCTGTCCTCTTTCGATGCATATTTCTATGCGCCATAGAGGAAAGAAGGAAAGATGTTGTAGGTCTCGTCCTGCGTGTCATTTTATCACGGTTCTGGGTAGTGTCAATAATTCTGATTAAAAGGATTTTAATCAGTTTGATGAGTAGGGGTCTCAGTGGATGCCGTGGACAATGTCTGGCCTCGTGCATTATATCTGGGTATGTTTGCCGCACTCTGCATACAAGGAGATGTGCGCAATCAAATCACGGGGAGACAATTGCAATTGCAATTGACAATTGCATGACAATTGCAATTCCAATGCAATTCTTCAACACCATGAAGACTATGGCAGGTCCCATCCATCAGAAATTCTTGACAAAGGCGATCAAGCGATACACAAGATTTAATTTCGAAACGGTGCTATAGAGCTGAAAGAAACTCCATGAGCCGAGAATTTTGGGGTTGACGTTAGAGATTCCTGCCACCTCGTTTATATTGAAAATTTCCCATAATCTTTCTCATGGCAATTGCAGTCTGATGGAGACGTCGGATATTTACTTATGTTGCCGTAGGACTTCACGTTGGACTTCTACTTTCGTCAATTCTGGCACGATCCTCGGCTGAGCTTCAAGAGATTCCTGGACGATCCCAACTTCAAGACATCGAGAAATAGACCTGACCTGGATGTCCTCACCGTCGGCGTGGAATACATCAATCGGATATGGGTTCCAGATACCTTCTTTGCAAACGAAAAGCAGAGCTACCCTCACACGGCCACCACTTCCAACGAACTCCTCCGTATCTCCAGCGACGGCAGCATCTATCGGGCTATCAGGTACGGAAAGCAATTGGGTCCAGTGGGGAAAAACTTGCGTACCTCGAGGGACTTACGACCCAATCTCTCTGAATGGGGGCAAAGTCTCACTTTCTTCCTCCCTCGAGAGATACCCTTAACGGGAGTCTATTGAGTGAGGGAGTGAGGTGATGAAAGAGAAGAAACTATTGACCGATTGCATGAACGATGTTTTCCCAGTGTTTTTCGAAAGTCATCGGTTAACTGATGCCTAAGGCCAAAAATGGATTGCATGAACGCCATCTTCCTTTAACCATTGTCTAACAGATGTCTAACAGAAGCTGAAAAAGGTGTCGTTTCCAGACAATGGATGGGGCATGTNGATGTTTTCGTACACAATGTTTAAACAATGACTATCGATAATCAATGTCTAAAATAAAAATCGTTCATGCAATCGGCCCTATACTTCTGAACTTCTTTCCTTCTTTCTTCTCAGGTTGACAATCACGGCTGGGTGTCCGATGGACCTCCGATTCTTCCCAATGGATCGACAACTCTGTAGCATTGAGATCGAAAGCTGTGAGTCTTTCACCCTTGATCTGCAGGCATCACGTAAACATAAGCCCAGTTTGTGTAAACACGAATCGAAATTTGTAGAAGTAAATTTAATGCACAGTAATTGGGCCCTCTTGAAAGGACATTGATCCTGGTACAGTAAATGATTCCAATTTTTTTTAAAGCTCTTTCCCTTTTCTTGTCTCAGTGGCGCTGTAGTGGGAGTGGATTGAGGAATTCATTCATACAGAGCAGAACACTTTCACCCTTCTACTGTTTACAGTCATTCACGAACATTACGTAAGAAAAAGAATTTACTGCCATGCACTCAATATTAAATTCTCGTTGAAGAATGAAGAAATGAAGAAATCCTTTGTGTTGTGGATCACCATGATTTGACTTATTTCCAGTGTGACAATGGACTTGTATCTCTTCAGTTGGCTACACAGTGCAGGACATTCAGTACACGTGGTACACAGGCCCAAAATCCGTGCAAATGGAAGGCCCCTTGGCAGGAGCAGAATTCCA